AGTCCAACCATCTACCCTACTCTACAAAGTCCTCCCCTACACCATATCCCTCAGTACCCCATCTAAACGTCCCTTAAACACATCCAGGGATGGTGACTCCACCACCTCCCTGGGCAGCCTGTTCCAATGCCCGACCACTCTTTCAGTGAAAAATTCCTTCCTAATGTTCAATCTAAACCTACCCTGTTGGAGCTTGAAGCCGTTCCCTCTCGTTCTATTGTTAATTACCTGTGAGAAGAGACCAGCACCAACCTCTCTACAGTGTCCTTTCAAGTAGCTGTAGAGGGTGATGAGGTCTCCCCTCAGCCTCCTCTTCCTCATACTGAACAGCCCCAGCTCCTTCAGCCGCTCTTCATATGATTTGTCTTCTAGGCCCTTCACTAGTTTCGTTGCCCTCCTCTGCACTCGCTCCAGCACCTCGATATCTCTCTTGTATTGAGGTGCCCAAAACTGGACACAATACTCCAGGTGTGGCCTCACCAATGCTGAGTACAGGGGCATAATCACTTCTGACTTCATTCATGGTCTGAAGCAGCAGAGAGGTCTATTTCCTCAAGCAGCAGCCTCACTGCTGAGCCGGACCCTTCCCCGTGCCTCCTGCTGTCTCCTGCCATGGCTAATAAGCCTGGAAACCATAATCCGTGACTCTGGTCCCCACCTCTGATACTGCTGCGCCTCCCCAGCTGGGAATCACCGCTCTACATTACTTCTTCAGCTGGCATCTAGCTTTTTCTGTTCCAGGAAATGATGTCAGGATGAATTACTGAAGATTACTAACAGGTTTCTAATACTGGACTCCACACTTGTTGCTGTCCTAGAATAGTTCTCAAGGGTGGGGGACAGGATGCTCAGTAGAATGTGTTTCTTTTGCAAAGTATGTTTCTTAATATGCTTCGTTCATCTTTAAGATGATTTACATTGAATGAGGTAATTCCAATTTACAGAAAACTAGAAAACAAAAAAAAAGCTTTGAAAACTGATCCTCCCACTGAAGCATAATCAATCTTTACACAGTTTGCCTAAACCAAACGCCGGGTCTTCTCCAACCTGTCACTGTACAGGCCCCACTTATAATGACATTTCACAAAACCTGTCGCATAGGCTGGTATTACAAAGAATATTAACTTACCAGAAAGACAAAGGGCATTTGAAAAAGCAAATTTCTGCAGAATAACTTCATCACTATCCAGCTCAGAATTTAACAAGATTTCTCCTTTATGAAGCTTTGACTGACCTCTGTAAAACAGGATTGAAGCATCTTCACTGACCAAGCCAATAGCAAAGGAACAATCAACAACACGAGAAAGGTTGGCTGTTTATTTATATAAAGTATGCCATATCTATATGGATATCTTCCCCAACCATGCATTTTTACTCATGTGGAACCTGACAGTAACTAAAACAAATGACTGAAAATTAGTTCCTCCAGTTTAAGGCTAATATTATGACCAAGTTTTCTAGGTTGAAATGAAACTGCAGCAAGCTATGATGGTAACTACAGCATTACTATCTACACACAGACAGCTCAGAGAGCAGGAGAGAGGCCAGCATCCTGCTTACTCCTCCTCCTGTAGTATCCTTCTGTTTCTGTTTTCCCTTTTCTTCTGTCACTTTTATCAACATCACTCCCTCCCTGATACGAGGTTACTTTCCCTGAAACCTCTGTTGCATAAGGGGCCAGGAGCAAAGAAAAGGGGGCATGAAAGTCATTCCATTTATCATGTCAATCTCACTATGAAACTTGCATAAAATGGAATATGTCAGGAATCACACAACTGGATAGTGCATGCAGTTTTCAAATGGCCAGGAAAAAGACCCCCAAACCTGTCCTTTTATCAGGTTACCTTAAATAAACGCAACCTCATTAGCTCAGCTCCTAATGTTATAGTGTCCTGTCTAGGAGTTGTTTTTTGGTGCTGTTGGGAAATTACAGATAATTTTTATAATCATTCAACATTGAGAAATATTTCTGTAGAGATGATTTGCTCCCCAGGGTGAAGAAACATTATTTAACAAGGCAAGACAACTTGCAAAGTTTATCGTTCCACAGTATTCAAGTTACAACTTTCCTAGGAAGTGAAGTATGTGCAGAATTATATCTTTGTGTATGAATCTAGATGGCACTAAGGAAAGCCTAGACAGAAAATCCTCTTTAAAATCAGATTTGTCTCAGTAATGCATATTTACCTTTTTTTTCTCTGAGAATTTGTCAATTTAAATTTACTGTTTTCTCCTTTCCCCATTTTACTCTTTTGAAACAAGAGTAAGGAAAAGTGTATTTTTACTAGCTGCTTTTGCTTGAATTTGTTTTAGGTATCTATTAATATCAAGAGTGTGTGAAGATACTTACTCTCCTATCCTATAGTTCATCTCTTCGTTCTCCCAATGGACTAGTGCAACCTCATATGGCTGAATTTCGTGCTGTTCCAGCACTCGCATGACATTCTTCATCTAAGAAAAAGACAATTGCAGACGTAGGAACAGTTACCGTGCAGGGTACCAGCACTCTGCAAAGATCTCACACACAATAGGCTGATGAATGCAACTTTCATGCTGAAGTTATTTAAATAACAACAAATAGGTGTGGCTAAGTACGGACGTGACTATTAACAGAGTTTACTTCTGAAGCTGTCTGTCATTGTGTGGAAGGATTTGTGGCTACGAACAACTGCAAGGAAATCTGTGGACTAAAATGTCATTTAATGTCTGCATATATGAAACAGGGCAAGGATTAACGACAGCGGCAGTGAAGACAATGCAGACGTATTCAGAATTATGACAATGAGCTGCACAAGATTTCTGGGAGATGTCCGAGCATGGAAATGAATCTTTAGGATAAGCACATCAGGTGGCTGCTTCTGCCAAAATTACTAGTTTGCTGCTAAAATCAATAGTTTGGTTTCAGCTACTAGAGTTGGGTTATATTGCAAAAATCCTGTACCACTACAGCAATCTGTAAAAATAGTTTCAGCTGCCCACATTCAACCCTGTACACAGTTAAATGTGCCATTTTACTTGCAGAAGTAATCTCACTGTCTTTCTTTTTCTTCTCAAGCACACTAAAACCTGATGCAGGAAGAAAGAGCCCTTTTCTCTCACAAAACTTTCTCCGACATCTGACTTGGGATCCCTCATCCTTTTCCCTTCTATGTGCTACAAGGCTCCCTTTGTAAAAATCATTCTGCAACTAGAAAAAATCTGGAACTAAAAAACCTACAGGTTTTTAAAAGGCATTTAACTACACAACAGCCAATTAAAAAAAAACAACAAAACACACCACAATACACTTTTGATGACTAAATTCTTTGAAGAGGTGAATCTTCTAAGTCATACTCAAAACACTCTCTTAAAAATAACAGATATAGTTAATCTTTTAGTGCAAAACTGTATGCTAGTAAATAGTTCATGAAGCATATTCTACAGGCTGTGTACTCCCAAAAAACCTGTTGGATCACCTGCAAGAGGGGTTTTCTTTGCAGTGCTGCCTTTCTTCACTGCTTTCAAGAATTTTGGTGATACTGTCTATGTAAGACACGATAACATTTTTCACTAAAAAAACCCCAACCCAACCTTACAGCTGCAACTGCTCGTTTCATAACCCTGATTTTAATATTAGCACGACCGGTACCAGCCATATACTCCAAGCCTTGTGGTAACAAAAGGATACGAATATTTTCATATTTTCATATTTTCATATTTTAAGCAAGGCAGTGTCTGCTGTGAGGCCAGTCAGCTCAGCCAACCAGCTATGCTGTGTCCAGGGGCACTCAGCAATGCCAACCCTGCTCAAACAATGCCAGAGCTAAGAATTATTTTCATATTTTAAGCAAGGCAGTGTCTGCTGTGAGGCCAGTCAGCTCAGCCAACCAGCTATGCTGTGTCCAGGGGCACTCAGCAATGCCAACCCTGCTCAAACAATGCCAGAGCTAATAGCCAATCCATAACGCAGCATGCCAGGCTGCCAAGAGCGTGCTCGCTTGGATCCAAGGGCTCCAGCTGGCTTTGTGAAGTCGTTACTAATACAGTAATAATTATGCTGTTAATAGACTAACAGTCCTTTCCAGAACTACAACCAGTTCAGGCTTCCCAGGGCCAGTGCAGAGCAAGATTTAACAAAGCTTTACAGACCGTAACCGATTCTGTGAAATTCATGTGTCTTGCAATACGCACACTTCCAAAGATCTGCCATTGCTCTGGATAATGAGAAATTATATTTCATTGCTGCCTTTTTACCTATTCGGAGTAATACAAAGGCTTCCACTGACTGATGTGAGTTTCACCGAGGCCCAGCCTGATTTTACACAAGGCACTACCTGTGACACAGCACTTTTAATGAGATGTTCTGGATTCACTAAATGCAAATTCTTGCTATTACAGGCAATCACGTCACACAATTTCCTTTAAAAAAAAAAACCCAACAGATGAGACTCCACCTCAAAGCTAGTTTTGCTTTTTTCCCTTGCTATTTTTGGCGGGGAAGATGTTGCACAACCCCCTACGCAGGTATTTGAAAAGGGTACTTTACATTTTAAATTCCTACTCATTGATCAGTCTATAGTTATTACTTTTTCTGTTAAGTGTCCGTTGGTTTAAAATACCTTTTCTTCTCTTAATAGTTATTCAGAAGTACTTTTAAAAAGCAATTTTGTCCATTCACAGTGATTCTCTACATTCTATTTTACTGAATTACTTTCAGTTTCTGTTCACAAATCAGTTTGAGTTGTTTTATTTTTTCTTTTTTTTTGTTTCAGTTCATCAAAATGTGTGCATAAAAACACCTCCTCTATTTGAAGGAGTTGTTTGGAAGTTAAAACTTTGACTATGATGTCAATAAGCAGGAAGAGGCAGTTTTCCTCTTTTTCCTCTCCTTTTATAAAGAAAGTTAGCAAGGGACCAGCTAAAGTAACTAGTGCTGACAAGAAAAATGTGGTATCGGATTTTCAAAGGTATTTAGGCACGTACAACAAAATTAGACTTTTCAGAGTACTCCAGTGGGCAGAGGTGCCCAAATCATAAAAATCACCAGGAGTTAGTCAGCTGGTTCTTGGTAATCAGTGGTGTAGTTACAGGTGTAGCAGCCTAAGTATGCTACAGGCAAGGTTTGAAGGGAGAACTAGTATCTTTTTGTAGGGCAGCTGATATACTGAAACCTGCCAAAACACACAGGAAACCAGGAACATTTCAGGTCTGAAACAGAAAAAGCCAACTTGAATCCAGAAATTGTTCATGTCTGGAAACAACTGCTCTGTATTTTCCTTTAATGAGAATCCTCCCATGAACTTCTGGGTATCATCTGTTTAATTTCACATACTCTGCCTGTATACAAATAAGATCAATACTTTTTGTATCTAGAAGCCAGTTTGATGTAACCAGTAATAAAAATCAATATATTAAAAAAGCCTTAAATTATAAATATATTCATAAAAATAGGTATGCCTGTGGCATATAGCAAAGAGCAAGCACCAAACATTGTAAGGGGTGTGTCAGTTCAGTATCACCACATTTTAACAATTACACCAAGCAATAAAAATCTTCCTTCAGGGAAATTGCTAACTGCTAGAACACAAAACAGTATTACAAAGTTGCTTAAAAAAATTGTATCTTTCAAAGTTATCCAAAAGTAAGTTTTGAATAGTTTTGACCTAAATGGCTCTAGAATGATACTTTTCTTCCAACACATTTTCTGTCACATTAGTGCCTTTCAAACAAACATTCACAGGTTGATTTTTCTGATCTACTTCTTCAGGATATAGACCTGCAAGAACTTTTTCACTGGATTAATGCTTCAGAGTTTTGGCCTTAAGTAGAAAATGTTGTCCACATGATACATTACACATACAGTTGCTCATTTTGTGCAGAAAGTTAAGTTTTAAAGGTGATATATATCAGCAACCCACACACTTGAGGGCAACAGCAGCCCAAGCATCTGAGCTTTGTGAGAAGGACAAAACATCCACTTATGACATTTTAACAGTTTTGCTTTACTTACACTTTTCTCTTCCACATTCCAAAACACAACAGCCCCTTCCCTGTGAATTCAAGGAAAAACTGAGGTGTAATTATACTGTTTTAAATGTATTTCAACGCAATACTCATTGCACAGTGGTAATTTTTGTCACTGTGAATCAAGAAACTTAATACTATCTTCACAAAAACAATGTAATGGTTGCTTTTTAACCACAGTCTAATGAAAAAACATGAGAAGGTAAGTTACTTTTTAATCATTTACATAATTCTGTTTGGGTTTTTTTTTAATAATTCTGGTTGGACAGTTATTCCATTTAAATAATTGTTTGGTTTTTTTTTTAATAATTCTGGTTGGACAGTTATTCCTTGAGTTTCATGAGGTAATACAACTTCTTTCACACCATTGTTATTATTTTATTAGTAACATTATTCCCTTAATTTAATCATTTACATAATTCTGTTTGGGTTTTTTTTTAATAATTCTGGTTGGACAGTTATTCCTTGAGTTTCATGAGGTAATACAACTTCTTTCACACCATTGTTATTATTTTATTAGTAACATTATTCCCTTAATGCTTTAGGATTGATTTCTAGCTTACCTGAAGAAAAAAATCATGCCAGGATCATCTTCTTTTGCAGATTTCTCAGTCCCAATCACCAAAACGTTTGCAGCATCTAGTTTGAAATAAATGAAAAAATTGAAGAATTAGTCAAACTTCTAAACATGATGGCTAAAAGCATATAATTCCAGCTTAACAGTTACATGCTAACACTTCAATCAGCCCCTTATTTTGTTTTTCTGATGGAAATGCTCACCAGGAAACAACTACAACATCAAGCTACACTGCTTCTCTGAAGTGTCACGCTCTGGACAGACTGAGCCGCTACGTTGAACTTCACTGGCATCTTTAGTTAATGAAATGCAACAGTTTTGAAGAACAAAAGACTTAAGGGAAAACTGATGCAGGGCATAGTAAATAAACAGGAACAGAATACAGAAGTGGACATGCAACGTGAGGGAACTATGGAAGTTGCCCACAGCTGCAGAGAAATTACCATTCAAATCTACTCGCCCAGAACATCTTTCTCTTTTCTACACAGTAAAGGACTAATCTGCACACAAATTGTGCTGACTTTGCTTTGACAGTCAAAAACTTGAAAGAGCGTAACCCCAAGACAGGAGAAGGCACATCTGCATTCTCCTTCGGATCAGAAGTGTGCTTTTGAAACCAATCTTTCAGCCACCCTTATTTACCACACCTCTGATGTGCACTGCAAAACAGTATCAGAGTACACAAACTGGATTTTTTTTTTATTTTTGCATTAAATTAAACTGAAAGAGGAACTCCAAAAATGAACCTATGGTACTAGAACTGCTAATGGGCATTTGTTACAAAGGACCAGACTTGAGCTAGTGTAAGGAAACACTTACAAAATGCAGACACTGGGTTCTCAAAACAGAGTTTTGTTTTTTTCCGCTACAGGTCTGCCCTGATGTACTACTCGCTAACGTAGATAGAACTTCTAGAAGTTCTGATGGGGTTTTCAAAAAAAAGGTTACTTTCCAGCATGACTCATTTTGTTCCAGAACTAGTGGAAGCTGGGTGAGCAAAACCCCCTGCCTCTATTATAAAGTAAGACTCCGCCAAAAGGAATTTGCAGGGCCTAACACCCCAGCCTTAAAAAGTTCCACCCCTTTGCAGAAAGGTCACAAGTGACAAGGCATCAAATTCAGCCCATGTACAAATTCCACTCTCTGCATTTCTGCCCGAGCCACAGAGGCCAGGTAGACTAAGGCAGCAGAGAGAAATGACTACACAGCAGAGGTAGCAATGACTACATACCCACGTAGCCCTTTTGCTAATACCAGAATCGAGACCACACAGTTGGTCCATACAAGCTCTTTTCTTTCACTTGCTATTCCAGTTCAGAAACACATGATTTGATGAATCACTAGAGCGAGTTTGGGGTGTGAACTTTGAGTTTACCATGGCAGAAACATTCGTCTGCATTTTCTCATTTGCCTTTTCAAATATCACCCTTATCTTTATTCATCCACTCCAGCCAAAACATACACAACTGAAAAGAATTTCCTCTATTGTAAGTGGAGCTACAGGATCTGCCTCTAAAACGTTTTGAAGAGGTCGAATAATGTTTAGGAAGAACACTACAAAGCAACAAATCCTCACAGTAACTGTTGATTTAGATTTCTATGTACTAATATTTTTCAGTTTTCCAAGGTTCAGTGTTTGGGCTCGTAACCAACCACTGCTACATGCACAAGCCAACCACCACAACACATCTGCTGGCACAATCCAATGTTCTTTCATCACTACTTCCTCCAAGCTTTTGATAAACAGAGTATCTATTGTGAGGAATCAAAAACACACCATAAAGAAATGAAAGCACTGGCAAAACCCACGCTCCCCGAGTAAAATACCAGCAACATTCGCCTTACGATAATTCCGTCATGCTGGGGATCGTACAAAGTTTCTGACCTGAAGCTGTGACATCATTGTTGGTTTTAATACAAAGGAAGTAGAAAGGAACATGAAGCTTATGCTCTACAGCACCTCATTTTTCCATTTTCATCTTTCTGAGCAAGCTGACCATTAGTGAATCTTGTGTTTGAAGGAGACCCACCAGAGCATTATGGCACTTGGATCATTAAGTGTTTGCGAGGCAACCAGATATTTGACAACCTCTACTGAAATGCCCATAAACATGATACATCATTGTCCTAGCTTCATAATCTGTTCAAAAAAGAAAATTTAAAAAAGGCATTCTCTGCCAACATATGAAAATCACAGCTGTTCTAGGGCACAAGGTTCCTTAAGCTATAAAAAGCTCCATTTTTTTTCTCTTGTAGTACATATTTCAGCTATTTTCAAGCCATACTTTCCCAAGTCTTCAGAGATACATTGTATGGAAACTAGAACCTGTTGAAGCCTAGCTAAGTAAAGCATTCAACAATTGCTAGGATATATTTGGCCCAAATAAGCAAACAAACAAAAAAAGTATCAAGTGCATTCTCTTTACTAGAACTAAGCATTTATGTATAGATCTATTTCACTTAGTCAGCAATATTCTCTCTTGCACGCCTTCCTCTCCAACCCTCAGTGATTTACATTAATAGAAGTGTGGATATGGAAAGAAGATGCAACACTTCAAATTACAAACCTGTTTTGACAGCTGAAGCACTACAGTATTTCACATTATTGAAAGATTAATTAAAATAAAGAAGAGTTTCAGATTTTTTTCATTTAGTGAATTTTTATAGAAATTCTTTATATCAGAAAATTTCCAAATTTATTTTTCCTGCATGCATCTAATTTTTCAATACTTCTAGCTTTATTGTAATTGTAGGAAAAATTATCATAGGGTAACAGCAAGTGCAGGTTGTACTGCTATTCTGAAAGGTTTAGTTGTGGGATTTTTAGGCAAATAGAATTTTTAAGCAAAGCAATTTTTATAGGCAGTATGATATATTCCAGGGTATTACCAGAATCAGAATGCATGAAATTATAAAAATTATATACCTCACCCATATTCCATTTCCCAAGGTATAACATTGCTTTTAATATGTTTCAAAAATCTACCTCTAGGCAAACTTGTTATTTCAACATATCCATGTGAAGTCAGGTCATGACACAGATTACCAAGATGATATTCATCTGCTGTTGCAAAGGCTGTGCACTGCATCAGATTCTGTGCCAAAGGAATAAAGATTTGAGTTAGGGCAAGGCTGAAGCAAGATGTTCATAAGACAATTCTTTGCCTCAAATTTATCCTAAGAGTGACATTTTTCATTTATTCACTCTTTTCTACGATATCATTGCCATGCTGTCCACCTGGTGTACAAATACTATCAAGATTACTTGCTCCCTGTTAAGTGGGAAAGCAAATCACAGACTGAGATCAAACCAGGCGACATGAGTAAACTGCACCAGAAAACTTTGTGATGGAGCCACAAAGTGAACTCTTCTTCCCTGAACACCAATCAAATGCTTTGACAGTGGAGCTACACTTGCTACTGCTCTCCCATCCTACAGCTTATGACATACTTGGCTGACTACCGAAATCAAAAGCAAGACACCCCCACCATCAGGTTTAACATTCATATTTTAAAGATAAACTGAGTTCAACAATCCCAACCTGCTTATCAAGCAGAAGTTCCACCTTCTTCCAAGCACAAAGCTCACTGCCCAGGTAACCCCCGGGGTAGGAGCCACAGCAGCACCATGGCACAGAAAATCTCGTTTCCTCTGGGACAGTTGTAGGTGCTGCAGATCTACAGTGTCCACCCTGAGCTGAGTCTTGCACTAACAACATGGTCTCGACTGACCCCACAATCAAACAGCCTACAACAGCCAGAGTTTGTCTCAATATTCCACAACCGTAAATAACTAAAATGCCATATTGAAACAAACGACTGGAAAAGTGATACTGACTTGCCACGAGACTGATTCATGCATGGCAAAGAAAATCAAAAAGTCATCTGTGCAAAGATTTTCTTGATTAATCAAACAAGTCACAATAAACCGATTTACAAATTCTACTCCTCATTTTAAGTGGATTTCTTTGTTCTGATACCATCTGTCCCATGATAATGTTTTTCAGTACAATATAGTGGAAGATATCCAGAAAGCAATGTGTCTCATGGATCAGTCACTTCCCAGCTTTTTTGTAACTAATACAAATGAGTATGTAACTAACAACAAATGAACAAAAGAACTGTATTCATCTGCAAGCATTTATACCCACAATACACTTAAAATCCAAATTATATTCTTGTAGCACTCACACACTATCAAACAGCAAGGCTTAAGAAGACTTCTACTCCATGGTGGGGCCTGTTACTAGCCATCAGAATCACAGCCACACATTTAAACCTTCTTTTCTTTTTTTAATGTTAACATTCTGTTATCGCTGTAAAGCTTTGCTTACTTATCATCTTAATTCAGTCATCACTAACAGAAAATAAATTTTAAAAGTAACTGCAATATCCAACGAGCAATTTTGTAGGCATATTTCCATGACTGTGCTACGAGGCTGAATTTAACAGTGGAAGCAAATTGTGTTTTCATTTCTCGTACTGCTTACGTTGAACAAGTTGTACTATCACAATTTCATCTGTAAAAATCCATTCTCAATCTCTAAACTGCCAATGCAAATTATATATTTCAGATTCTTCCAGAAAGCCCTGGTTATTAGAATTACACATGCTCTGCCATGAGACTCTTCTGTCAAGAGCTAAGGGAGCAAACTTACCTTCAGCTAGTATATAATCTGAAATTCTCTATCCTGCTCCATGATTCCCATAGTTTATACTCATTTCAAGGCAGATGCATTCCAGGACAAATTCTGTCTTAACTGCTGCAACTTTAATTTCAACATAAAGACTTTACATTTACTTAGGACCAGAAGTTCATTGCTAAGACTACATGCCTGAAGCACTTCAGATAGGCACTGGTTTGTTTTTTACAATGCACTGTTTCACTTCAATTTTCAATAAAATATTGTTTGATGGGGAACATGTGGATTGGGTATAATTTGAGATTAATACACCTAAAATACATGTTTTCACAGGCTCTCTGGAGATCTGAACTCCCACGATAGTTGGTGGAGATATAACCAAGAAGTCTATACACTGAGTGAGTCAGCTAATCCTAAAATAGATGTGTTAACTGGCCAGTCAGGCTTAATGGCATGTTTTCTGTTACATCACTTTCACCTGCAAACTTCAAAATAACAGAGTACAAGATGTGTACTGGTGCTAGAAAGAAACTCCAGCTACTCACCACCCTCCTGCTTTCTGCCTACAGCTGGGGTCTACACGTTTCTTAAATACCTCCAGGGATGGTGACTCCACCACCTCCCTGGGCAGCCCATTCCAATGCTGGATAACCCTTTCAGTAAAGAAATGTTTCCTAATATCCAACCTGAACTTCCCCTGGCGCAACTTGAAGCCGTTACCCCTTGTCCTATCATCTGTAACTTGGGAGAAGAGACCGACCCCCGTCTCTCTACAGCCTCCTTTCAGGTACTTGTACAGAGCGATAAGGTCTCCCCTCAGTCTCCTCTTCCCCAGACTGAACAACCCCAGTTCCCTCAGCCTCTCCTCGTAAGACTTGTGCTCCAGACCCCTCACCAGCTTCGTTGCCCTTCTCTGGACCTGCTCCAGCACCTCAATGTCCCTCTTGTGGTAGGGGGCCCAAAATTGGACACAGTACTCGAGGTGGGGCCTCACCAGTGCCGAGTACAGGGGGACGATCACCTCTCGGGCTCTACTCGCCACACTGTTCTTGATACAGGCCAGGATGCTGTTGGCCTTCTTGGCCACCTGGGCACACTGCTGGCTCATGTTCAGCCGACAGTCGACCAACACCCCCAGGTCCTTTTCTACCAGGCAGCTCTCCAGCCACTCTGCCCCCAGCCTGTAGCGCTGCAGGGGGTTGTTGTGACCCAAGTGCAGGACCCGGCACTTGGCCTTGTTAAACCTCATCCCGTTGGTCTCGGCCCATCGATCCAGCCTGTCCAGATCTCTCTGCGCTGGTGTTGTTGTGTTTTTGGTTTTTTTTGGGTTTGTTTTTTTTTTTGTGGTTGGACTCGATGATTTCTGAGGTCCCTTCCAACCACTACAATTCTGTGATTCTGTGATTCACTGAGATTCTATTCAGAGCACCACAACAGCTATCCTTAGGAGGAGCCATCCTAAGTACCTGAACAATTCATTTTCCCAATCAACTGCACAGGCTCATGGAACCACAATTCTTGCCCATCCCTTCCAATTTACGTATACAAAGATTCTTAAGAAAGAAAATCTGTAAGATGAATTTAAATTCCCACACCACCATCGGAATCAGTCTTTATCTTAAGCTTAGTAAATGCTACATCTTTACTTGATTTTCAAGCTTTTTCTAGACTACGCAGCTATAGCAATAAAGATTAGCTCAGAGGCTTTTCATGCCATCAGACTTTACAAGATTAACTAAATGGAGTAGGGGTACTACTCACTGATGGACTAATTAAAGTAGTACTTTAATTAGTTACTGCTTAGTAACTTAAGCTTACTTTTACTTAGTTACTTTAATAAAGTTCCTGCTTTCAAGTAACTCTTCCATCTACCCTGAAAAAACTGGTCTTATGACCCTTTATCACTGCTGGTGCTCAGCACTCTGCCTGCAAACAACACATGAAGACCAGTGCTGGGGAGGGGCGAGAAGAACCTCATTCATGGACTGTCCTGAGTAAGAAAGGGGTCAACTGTCAGGCCCTTCCAGACAGAAACCACCAGAGATCCTCTGGGTTCATCTGAGAACCTTAGAAGCAGACTTGGAGCACAGCAGACCAAGAAGGAGAAGACTCCACAAGCCTGTATCCTGGTAACTGCCCTGGCAATAGGGCCCGTATCACTGGAGAGCTTTTGGTTCCCTCCACACCCACACAGAATGCAGGATCAGCTTTTTTGTGACACCAAGATTTAGGGAAAACCAACAGCATGCTGAAAAAACCCTCAAGGATTCACCTTGCAGAAATCAGCCACATCTTTCAGTTATTTCTCTGTACTACACATCTATAAAGAAATACACAAACAGGTGTAAAAAAAAAAAAAAAGCTTATTCCAAACTACCATCAGCCTGCAGTCAAGGTGACAGCCTCTCCATACCCCTGTAGATGGGGCTGTCTATCTGATAAAATCAAATGGAGATTATTCAAAAATAGCAAATGTTTTTGTTAGGTCTGAGTTTATGTGGTTTCTGGCACAGCATTTTGCCATGTGGAAGCCTCCTCAGAAAGTATATTATTATTTCAGTATATCAGGCAGTACTTTCTCCATTTCTTCACAATGGAAGAAAAGTAAAAATAGCAGTGTGTATCACTTGCATATATATGTACAAAAATGTCAAGCAAAGAAATTGTTTGGTTTCTATGCTGCCATTTAAAAGCCTCAACAATCAAAAAAAAAAAAGTCATTTCACCCACCAACAAAAAGAAACAACCTCTGAAAGTAACGCCACAGCATGAATAACAAGCTTGAACCATTACATGCTGTTTCAGGACTAATATTCTTCACTTTCTCTTTTCAAAGCAACAGGAAAGTTCAAGTGGGAACGAAATCGTCCATAATGTTGGACACTTGTAACTTTGTGTTACATTAAAGCACACTCCTGCTCATCACACAAAATATTAAACAGAAACTTAGCTGATGAGGAGGCAAGCATCACATTCAGCAGATCATGTAACAGACACATTTTGCAACGTGGAAGCTATTTCTGAAAGCACAATACTTGTTTCAGTCTCATCTAGAATACTATTTTATTAACAATACCCTGGACCACAGTTGTTGTAGCTTGAGGAGAACAGTAACACTTCTGACACTGTCCTCGGAGATCTTATATTCAAGGTCTGCCTTGGCTAGTATTGAGGCTTGCAAAGAAGTATCTTAAGGAGAAACTGCCACATCTATGCAGCATTCCACTTCATTATCTCTCATTTTATCCAAACCAATTTCCTGCTGGAGTTACTCTGTAGACCTAGGAGTCTGGAGATCAAGGGGCTATTTCTACACACAGAATAATCTTCCTTAAGTAACACAGGCTACATCTGCACCTCCGCTTCCCATCTGAAATGTAATCTGAATATAGACTTAATACTATTTGCTTCCATCTTTATTTCTGTTTGAGTGAAGCCTTAAAATTAAGTACAACTGGACAGGCAAGGATACATAGGGAAAGTCAAATTATTCTAAAAGCTAGACTTTATTTCTTAATACTAATGTAATTTGAAAGCACTGGTTAAAATGATTTTTAATGGATTTTGTCTTTCCGCTCTAATAACATCTTGTCTTCCTTCTACTTTTATTTATGCATTGCTAGTAAATTTCTGTTTTATCTTCAAAATACCAGACACACTAGTTTCTATCAAACTTGTTTCTGTTTGCAGAGTTTCAACCTCTTCATGGCCAGGCTAGGGTTAATAAGGAAAAAACCTCCTCACCAAATAAACATGTTAATTTCATTAAAATGTTAATTAAACCCAAATCTGAATCTAAATTTAACTGATAAAGCTCGTTTAATGTTATGCAGACTGTAAATTTTATACTTTACCTCCATGTCCGATAGTAGTGGCTGGTTAGTTCTGGATGGCTGCTTGGTCCTTGGTGCCTTTGGTGGCCTCTTAACTGGCTGGTTACTGGGGTTTGGAATAATTTTACCAGCTGATACAACTGAGTAAAATCTTGATGATACGTTCCTAAGCTTTTTAATACACTCTGTACGGAGACTGTAGTTTTCCATCATTGCCACACCAAAAGGTTTCCAGGATGGAAAAAATCCCTCCCAGCTCCGATGATAAACATTTTTTCCCAAAGCCGATACATTCCCTTGGAGAAATTGCCAATTCTTGACTTGCACACGTCGACTTGTCAAACAAGGGGAAGCAGTTTTCAGAGCATACAAATTCCAAGATTTTGCTGTTCTGTGAGCTGTTCTGTCAACTTCATTATCCAGCTTTAATAGCAGGCGTCCAGTTTTATTAAAGCTTTGGCAGTGGCATATTGTTGTTAAAACGTGGAAAGGTCTAGTCTGAAGGCGCGGAAGTTTCAGTCTCATTGCTTCCCTCAGAACTGTATTTAAAACAAACAAAACACATCATTCCATCAATCCTATGGAAAGAAGTATTGTTTTCCACTTATCTAAAAAGGTGACCCATATTGTTTTTGCATGTGTTAGTACTCCTAAGCACATGAACACTGGTAGGATTAAACAGCTTTTTTTTGATGCTACGGAAATGCTCTTAATTAAGATCAAAACACACTACTGAGCTGTGTGCTTGCAACACATGCTGGAAAAGTGGAATTGGTTGCTATGTCAATACGTAAGCAAGCATCTTTTCCCTCTGTTGCTCATTCTGTGTAGCAGCCTGTACTCTCTGTAACCCCACCAACGAAATCACTCATGAGCAAGCACACACCTTAAAGAGGATATCAGTCTCTGAGAATCATTATTTTATACATAATAAAACCCACAATTGTGTGCTTGTATGGGAACATCACATACAGAATACACAGCTCAAAACTGATGTAGCTCAAACTGCTGTATTTCAAACAGCCAAGCACAGATCCAGCTCCGTTTGTCTGTCACGAGCGGAGCGAGAGCCGAGTCAATCAGGTCACAGTCTTGATGCTGCTGGTGCATACTGGTGCCACAGGGACCTCAAGGCCTGCTTGTAGATCCACCTGTGCTGATGGAAACATGACACCATCTATACTCTGTTATTTCAGACTAAGTGCAACTTATTATATTTAAGCTAGTATGAACTAATCAAATAAACTTTAGAAGTATTCACAGACTGAATCCCTCACTGGGTGTGTTTCACTTGCTGAAAAATTGCTCCCATCTGCTTTTATTAACCAAGATCACTTCCCTCATGACACAAAATCCATCTTCAGCAAGCTATTAACAACAAAAAAGTCATTAAGCTGTACAGTTTGAAAAACTTGCCAATTTCAAAATATTTTTCAAAAACTGTATGAAGAAGGATCTTCAATACCACTGCATATGTTTAACGTAACAGTTCAAATCAGCATTTTCCTGTGAGAACAAATCATTGTGGGCCAACTGGACCAAGCCCTCCATCCTGACAAGGATATGGAAATGCTAGCATAATACATGCACAACTTGAAAAAAAAGGAAAACCAAACCTCGCCCTGACACAACTTAATGGATGGGGACTACACTAATTCTGGTGAAAGAGAATTTGAAAGAAAATTCAACAACAAAAAAAAGACAAAACACCTTTAGGCTACCACAGAATAAGTAATTGATATTTGGCATAATTTTATATGCTCTTCACTTGCAACTCAATTTGCCCAATAACACCTGTTATTTGCATATTTATTAGAATAAACTAATCATTATATACATTCTTAAATTGTCCTGTATTTAAAAAGTGACCCACAACACTCTGCCCAGGACAAGGCACATTTGCCCGTGTAAAGGCCCGTCACCTCTGGATAATCAAAGACTGCTGAAAAACTCAGCAACCGCAACCCCAGGCGGTTGAGAGCCAGGGCAAGGGCAGGAGTCTCCGGTAGCATGGGGTGACTAGTGGAAAGAGGCTCACAAACGCCAGGCAGGTCGGTACTTTCCCCGCCAACAAACACCTTGTGTGGGATCCCAGGGGTGATTTTCCAACTGTAGAGGGTCCCAGGGTACAAGGAAGCAGCGACCATATCGTTTAACTTCCACCCAGGAGCCTGGACGCCACAGATGCATGGCAGCAGAGGCACCCAGCTGACAAGCGGGGAATGGAGCAGTCCAGGAAACAGACGGGACAAAGCGCTACCACCACAGGCCAGCAGGCGCCATCTCCGGGCAGCGGGCACAAATCGGCCCTTTATTCTTCAACGCCTCTTTAACACAGGGTACACTTTATTCACACCCGTTGCCTTTTCCAGATGCGGGCAGCCCAAGCTTACTGCGGCAGAGCCGGCGCGATGGGCGAATAAACTAGGCCCACTCCGCAGCGCAGCCAGGCCTAGGCCAGGCCTACCCGGGCCCTGAGAGGCCTCGCCCGCCGCCGGCCAGGAGCGCCCCCCTCCGGTATGGGCGGGGAGAAAGTGGTAGAACCCCGCTCCCATTGGCTGCTTGCCGGGACGGACAGGAAGTAGGCCGCCAGGGAGCCAATCAGGAAGCGAGAGCGCCCCTGCAGGAAGAGGGGAGGCCAGCACCGCTCGGGCCCCGCCCCGCGGCGGCCTGCGCGCGCCTGACGAGCGCCCTCGGCGGCCGCGAGGAGGCGCCACCACCGGGCCCAGTGGCCGGGGGGGGAGGCGACGTTCCCCCCCCCCGCCTTTCTCCTCACCCCCCCGTTCCGTTACGCTGCGCCACCGGCGAGGAGTGCGCAGCCGGTGGGCAGTGGTGCCCGCTTGGAGTGGAGGGCCGGAGGGGTGCAGAGGAGAGCGGCCCGGCCGCCTTCCCGCGGCGGCTCCGGCCGGGTCATCCCGGGGGGGGAAGGGACGGGGCAGGAAATCGGCCCCATCCGTCCTTCCCGCGGGCTGGGCTCCTTCTCACCCCCGAAACTGCCTCCTCACGCTGGGCCCACGGGGCCCCCGCACCGGCAGGTGGAGCAGAGCCGGCGGGGAGAGCAGGCGAGGCCACCCCGCTTCGTCCAGGGCAGGCCCGGCCCGCGGGCCTTCGTGCCGCCGTTCCGTTCCCCCCCTTCTCTCCCACGCTCCGCTCCGAGGGGGGGGGTGCCGGCAGGGGCTCCACAGCCCCCCTTCCCCGAGCAAAAGTTCCCTCCCGCAAAGCCCCGGGAGCCGCCGTGGGCCGCCCCGCCGCCCGCTCCTCCCCGCGGGCCCGCCCGTCGCCGCCGCCGCGGCG